AAAATCAAATGGATTGTCAAATATTTTGATCCTAATATTAAAACCGAATTGAGTCTAATGCGCATACTGGATGGAAAGCGATGGTTGCCTTTGGACTATCAACAATGGGACATTGCTGTATACCCTTTGGTGCCTCAAACAACTCATCACACATGGTCGGTACGGACATTTTCAAACGTTGAGAAACCCCGTTATCTACTCATTGCAATGGGCAAAGAACGTTCCATAATGTCAAAATCAGACTTTCATCACTGTACACTGCGCAACGTCAAGGCATACTTGAACTCAGACGAGTACCCGTACGAGAACTACAATGCCGATTTCGAAGCTGGCAAATACACCTCAATGTACAATTCATATGCACGTTTTCAAACAATGTACTATGGACGTACCAATCCTCAACCTTTACTCGACCGTGTCCACTACAAGAAACTCGGACCAATCATAGTTATTGACTGTTCGAAACAGAATGACACTGTTAAGTCATCTACGGTTGACTTGCGTTTGGACTTTGAATGTGCCAAAGCTTTTCCACAAAACACTTCATTATACTGCGTGATTATTCACGACTGTCAGATGGAATACAATGCATTTAGCGGAGAAGTTCGTAAATTGTAATTTTACATTACATATTTTTTTTATGTTTAAATAATAAAGATTTTTTTTAAATAAATAAATTTATTGTTTAAGAAAATAAGTACAATCTTTGTTATTATTTAATTTCCCATCTGCCTCCTTTGACTCCATTTTCACACCACTGTAACTTCATAGCATCTACTGATTCTGTACCGTCCGGTTGTTGTTGTTGTTGTTGTTGCGGTAAGTCAAATTCAATGCCAGGAAACACTCTGAGCAAATCCAAATCGTTAAATATGTTGAAATATTTACCCTGTAGATAATATATACATATTTTTACAAAAAGTAATAATTTTTTAACGATTGTGAGATGAAATTTACCTTTATTTTAGCATTGTTTTTCACAAAAATGACTCTTGATGCAAAGTTCAAACATTTTGACATATAATCTGTGTTGACAATCTCATGAAAATATATCATATATTGTGTATCACATACTTTGTTCTTGGGCAATGTCAGCTTGTCTTTTTGTACACTTTTAACAGTGACATCATCATCATCGTCATTGTTGTTGACAATATGTTTTAACAACATTTTGATTTCACGTACAATACGTGGTCGAGTAAGTATAAGTTTTCTATACACATTATCGAATATTGCATTCTTTAATTTATACAGTTGCTTTGCCGCTTCAAATGATACCCAAATTTCTTTTTTTCTTGTTGTACAAATTGTTGTTGATGAGTCTTCCAAGTGTGTTTGTAGTGACTCAATCACTAGGTATATTTTCTTAGTGTACGCTTGCAGTACACGAATCGTTGTGTATTCATCTTGCAGTATAACAACACCGTCCAAATCATGGTAAAGTGAGGAAAAGTAAGGATATATTGAGTATAGACGTTGTAAAAACTGAATATTTATTGGTATCCGATCGATTCCGTTGACAAACACAATTTTAGGCCAAAACAAATCTCTTGAATCCAATCCAATGTGAACGTGTGTCAGAGAATCGATATAAAACACAGAAGTATCGATTAAATAATCAGACGGATGATGTTGCTGCTTCTGGTGACTTGCCATCTTGCACAAGTGTCGTAGACTAATGGTCTACATTTTGTACACGTTTATCATCATCATAAATGTCCCCACTTGTAATTTTACTTAATTCCTCTTGAAGTTCACTGTAAATACTTTTAACGATTGAGCATGCGCACGGACCATCGATTTGATCCCATCCTGAGGAATTACAAATACATTTTGGGTATTGTTCATCTTTATTTGATATTGATCCATATTGCTGAGCCAAGTTTTTCAAAATAGCGTATTTTTTAGACATTTTAGACACTCTTTTGAACATAACACGATCTGTACGTATTAAAAATAATCTCTCCAGTTGTTTATCGATTTTCCGAACCAGGTCCATCTTGATTCAGAACTCACACTAAACTGATGTTTATGTCGACAACAAATATCAACTATATCAAAGATGACCGACACGTATAATAATTTTTTTAACCGTGGTGACGTCACACATACCCCATACTTACAATTAACCATACATTAAATTGATAAGCCGTGGATGTTCCAGACACCGGGCGAGGACAGGGCGCCGTCACACCGTACCCGTCGAGGTGGGGGTACGGTATAGGTGAACTGTGCAAACATGTTGTTATGGTGTGGTACGGCACTGACCTAGGTCAAATATGCACACATGGACGGGGTGCCGAAGGGAGGGAGTAAGACACTGCCCTAGGTTCAAACTGTATACGATAACATGGCCATAATGATCGGAGAGGAGGGGTATTCTACTGACCTAGGTCAAAAGTGCATGCAATAACTTTGTTGCTGGGGACGGAGTGGAGGGGGGTGTCACTGACCTAGGTTACCAATGCAGGACGGTCTGTGCCGAATGGAATGTGATGACGTCATTAAATGCATCAAATTTTAAAATTACATGGTGGGGGGGGGGGGTAGAGGGGAGGGGGGTCACTGACCTGGGTCAAAAGTGCAGGCCGATTCTGTCTAGAATGGAATGTGATGACGTCATCAAATGCATCAAATTTTGATGACGTAGGCACATTCCATTGTAGACAGAACCGGCATTCTATACTCTACTGAAATAACATCTCCGTTTTGTCAGCACATACAGAAAGTTTTATTGTAGCACGTTTTATTAATAAACGTTTAATGGACGTATTAGAAGTCTACATTTAGTTCGAAATATCGTTCACAAAACAATCCCCCATAGAACGTTATACATGAAAAAGTTTAATCACCAAAATCATTTAAACATTTTTAAACACAAAACTTTTATGAAGATAATTTTGAACTGAACGAATAAATAACGGTTAACGGAACCCTGATTACATCACTTTCAGTAAAAATAATTTCTAAAAAACTGAGACCTTTTCAACCCCACTATGATCCGTCTCAACGATGTCAATGTTTATTATAATTTTTTGCACCTGATGTAATTTAAAACAACGTTTCCTGTAAAATATGAAACTCGAGTACCTTGCATATTTCCACCAGTATATTTTCAAGAACCCATATTGAAATATTGGATAGCTATGTCCTATGATCCAATAAGCAATAGACCCAAAATAGTCGCCCCATTAAGAGGTTAGAGGTTGAAGAAATATTAATACTAAATTCCCATTTCCGATATTAGGTCCACAAAAAACGCTTTTAAAATACAGATAGAAATCAATTAATGGTTAACATTATTCTTCTAGGAAAGGAGATAGTGTTTTATATTTAAGAGTCATTCTTAATATTTAAGAGATTACACTTATTTGTACATTTTTAATTGTAATTTTGTGTCTTTATTATATCTTAAACTCATGTTTGGTTTTGGTAAAATCTATCGTTTCCAAAATGTTGAGTAATGATCAGCCAATCAACGAGAAAACTTCAACACGTATGTAAGTGTCTTAGACGAACCGATTATTATTGTATATTAGTGTTAAGTAAATGATTTACTGACGCCAAATAACGGTCTAACGTCAAAAAGTACCCGATGACTACATGACCTGAACTTCTATTGTGGTTATCGTATTTACATTGTGAGAATGAGTGTAGAATTAAGGGGAACTGAACGGGCTATTTATGAAGGGGCAAAAGGTAGGCAATATTTGACAAAAACTTATCTAGTAGCCATTTAAAATATGCCAAATAATATTAAGGAGAAAACATTTCTATTAAATAAAAAGTTTTTCTAGTAATGAAACGTTTAAAGATTTTTTCTCCGAGTTATGACGAAAGTGTGATAAAAACAAATTTTTGTGAACCTTTCTGGTGTATGGAATAATTTTTTTGTAAGTAATAGTTCACTATTTTCCTAGTTAGATTTATTAAAAGAAAACTATACAAATTTCAAAACATAAACCCTTATAGTAAAATTTAAAAAATAAAAATATAAAATTGGCCTTTTGCTCCTCTCCCCCTAGAAAACAGAGTTGTGCTTTATTCGAATAAAACGTTATCAAAATAATCATCTAGATAACATATTATTCAATTAAAAGCTATTGGAATAATTTCAAATTCAATTATTCGAATAATTTGTAAACATATTATTTAAACAGTTTGTAAGTGTTTTATTTAAGTACCTAATTATAGAGTAATGCACGCAGATAAAAAATACTGAGCTCCACTCTTCTTCCTGTCCTAAATTTTAAACTCTAATAACTTAAAAAGTAATTATCCAAAATTGATTATTGATCAGTCAAAATGTTCAGAAAATTATTCTTAATTTAAAAAGTTAATAAAATATATACGTTACCGTTTAAAAAAACTTAAGTTTATACCGTTTTAACATATAAGAGATGGGGTTATATTTTAAAAAGAATAATATATTAAATTTGTCCTAACTAATAACTATAAAAGTATAAAAAAAATAATTAAATAAAGTATCTAATATCCTCTAAGTTATTGACTGGGTCATTGTTAACCAATCACCCGGTAAATAGGAAGACATTTTTTTCGAATAACGTTTGGAAAAACTTTTATTTGAGTAAGAATTTGCACAACACTGCCATAGGAGATCCCTAGTTATAAACAAAATACATTTTTAGAAATCGGTACGGTAGACACTCTCGAATGGGACTTGGCGTTTTAGTGTTGATTGGTACGGAGAGTTTTTCTAATTTTTTTTTTGGGAGGGGTGGGAAATACTTGTCCGAGTTTTTTCGCATTTTTTATGAAAATATGGACATTTTTTATTAGATCCTCGCCGGTTGTCTTGTCTGTCGATTATAATAATAATAATTTATTAAATATAGGTGCACAAGACGTATCGGGACCGTTCCCGTCAGATAGAGCTGTAACCCTTGCGCGGTCTTTCGCGCACACACACAGACATACCGAAGCAACAACGGACCGACAGCTCTCGGCACCGGCACGACGGCTTTTCCCCCACGGATCGTCACAGCAGAAGGCCGCCCCTCGCACGACCAAACGCGCTGGGCTCTACGCGTGTTTCACCGACAGAGTCCGACCAGTATTGCCGCGATTCTCTGACACACGGGTCGCTTTTCTACGTCGTTCTCCTCTCCGGTGCACGTGCTCGCAGTACTCATACGTAAACCATACCATAACAGATTTTTTTTTCGGTCCATATTTTGGCCCTATGAAAACCCGTAAAAAAACAGATTTTTTTTTTTTTTTGAACCAACCGCGTCTATGAAATAAAATCGACAAAGACGATAAAAAAAAACAATTTAATCTTTTAGTATTAGTGTTAGTGTACTAGAGCTAGCCATTTTTATTTAAAAACTTTTTCGCGTGTTTTAGGTTAATTTTACACTATAGTTAAAATTATTGTATCTATAATATACTAGTTGTAGTGTTTTCAATTTAATATACGTTTAACTATACCGTGTACCGCTTACGTTTTTTTTTTAGTGTAACTTACAACATAAACAAAAATCGTATGCGTATTGACTCTTTTTCGGTACATCCTACCGTTTGGCTAGTTCCTTTTCGGTGGCTTGTTTAAAAAAAAATAAAATATCAAATTTCTTTGCACCGTCTGGTGATTTTTTTCCCAGTCAACCGCGAGTAATTGTATCGACGTTAATTTTCACACCTTTCGGGACGCGGAACACACACACAAATATCGGATTACCGTTTTAATGTATGGTTTATCGGTCTGGGTTCATTCGCCACCGATCGAGAAATTTTCAAGTCGTCCTGAACATGGACCGAGATCAGGCCGTTCATGCATTCACCATCGTGTGGAGATCTAGAAGGTTATGGTTGTCAATGTTGGTGTCGTTGCTTCTCTTCAACACAACAGGTAAACAACACGCATACAATAATTTATTATTCGATAAACAAACAAATAACAGTAATCTAGAGATCTATACCTCTAAAATAGCATGACGCAAACCTTGTAGATAATGTTCGTGGAGATGCTGTTAGAAGGATTGTTTTCAAGTTACTTGATTTCTAACCCCGCCGCCGCCTTCTTCCAATCCCAATCGACAGGATTCTCAAAAATTTTGTTTTTCATATATAATTTAAATGTTATACGTTTGAACTGACAAATAATAGATATTTTGGCCGTAAAATATATCTATTATCAAAGCCTATGTACATTGTATAATATATATTTTTATACTTTGATTTAATGTCTGGGAGTATAAGGAACTTTCTTCATTGCTACTGTATAAAAATGAAATAATAAATTACAAATTAGTAACATAAACATTAGCAATATTAATTAGTAACATTAACAATATTAAATTATTACTGTTAATAATGTGGTCGTTGTTATTATTATTTTTATTGTCATTATTCATATTGTCGTTATTATTATGGTAACTCGAAACATACCGAAATTGAAATTATACCTATGGTTCGGTTTTGTTTTGCTCATAGTTGACGTCAAGCCGCGTTTAATCTGAGTATTAACAAATTACTAACATACGAATAATAACTAATTTATTATATCGTTTAGCTGCTAAAAAATTGCTCACAACAAAAAATAACTATTTTCTGCAATTAACGTATTTATTTATATATAATTTTTACTTATATATCACAAATTCTGTGACTTACTTCATTGTATAAAATATATACTAATATTTTATTTTATACTAAAAACATATAAATGGCCAAAAAACAAAACATGACCATTAATGCAGTATTAAATTGTTACAATACCTATTTTTAGTTGTGCTAATATTTTTTTAGCAGCGCGATGTAATTTTTAACCGCCTATTTATATTACTCAACGAGGGACGTTGAAATAATAATGTGTACATATTATTTTGTTTTATATTCTAGTAAAATGTGTAAAATGGCTTCTATACAATACAAATATTTAAAAACAATTCCAAAAATAAAATTCACGTTCTACAACTTTACTTGCAAGAATAAGCATTTACATTTTTTGTTACGATGATATTATGTAAGTAGCATTTTCAAGTTTTTCGTTTTCTGGAGATTATTAAATAACTATGCATCCCATGAAGGGTTTTATATCAGATTCGCCGGCTGTGTTTGTGGTATTTAATTAAATATCATATTTTTAATCGTTTTCTTAATATTGTGTTCTCTATCATCTCAATTGGTATCCATTATTTATTTCTAAACTATAGTATCTATTCAATTCTATTATAGATTCATTACTTTTCATTTGTGTTTAAATTGTATTTTAATTATTTGTATATGTTAGCTACTAGTATTTTACTAAATTTGAATATTATAATTGAAAATATATAATTTTAACTTGCTGTATCAGTGTATGAGTTATTCCTATGATTTAAATTTATATTTTAATATCATGATTAATAATAATCAAACATTGTTGCAATGTTTTAATTCAACACATTTTACTAGAATCGCTTTTTGACAACCTCATATTACATTTGGTTTTTATTAATTTAACTGAACCTAATCATAAAATTATACGAATACTATACGAAAATTACCCGTTTTTATATTAATCATATTATAATGGAACAGAATAATTTGGTTATTTCATATTATAATAGGATTTACTAGTGAACATAACATTTTTGTACTTTTATTGTTGCTTCCGTCCTTGATCCTTAACGTTATAATAAACGATCACTTAGTGCATAAACGTTTTTTTTTGCTTCGATGCGAGGTAGAGAGCTATTTTTTATTTACCTAGTATCGTGATGTTTTTTTTATTACAAAAAGAACTATCACCGAAATCTATTTTTAAAAAAGTTTTGTCCCGAGACTATTTTAAGCAAAATAATCGTGAGATTAACACGCGCTCGCAAAAATGAGAACTTATCGAACATACACAATAATACGTTTGAATGGCAAATAGTTAAAGAGTGCGTAGCGGCGGCATCGCGTTGTCTTAAGAAAAATCATCTCCAAAGTTCAACTGTTCAAATGTGCATTTAACCGATAGGTACCATTACATTATTCACAAAGTTTTTTTACGCACTATAAAGTAACGACATCGTTAATGGGCGCGCAGAAAGTTTCAAAACGCGGCTACTGTTTTATTTTTATATACACCGCGCGCGCTGCATAAAATAAGCAAAAAGAAAACGCAAAGCATACTAAAAGAATGATTTATTATACTTGTTATGATTTCCTTGCGTGATAACGCTGTGGACGGGTACGCGACATGAATATACCAGCTATAGGTACCTCGTTGAAAGTGAAACATTACTATTAGCTGTCAAATATATATCGAAAGTCATTACTGAACCATCAGATTGCCGATGTTAACCAACGAGCAGTGGACCAATCTTTCAAACGTGTGTTTGACAACTCCCGTAAGTTTTTTTTAGCTATGTGTTTCACGTCAATCGCTATTTTTACGGGAAACTCGTTTGGAGTGTCTAAAATAACGCCTATTTCGAAAAACTAACAATTAATAATGTAACGGAAAAACGCAAACTTTTTTTTTCCAAGTCAGAATGCCTTTGGTTTCCCTTGGAGTATCAAGTTTGAAATAATTTTGTAAAAAAAAAAAAAAAAAATAGTTCAGTCACGCAACCAATGGAGAGGGGCGGCTCTGGGGTTATAACTAAAACTAAAATAATGTGAACAAAATATAAATGGGTACACATTAACGTTGGTTACAAGCCCTTTGAAATATTATTTTATTTGTTTTACTGTACGAATTCTTATTTAAGTATAGAATGGTAAGGAAGCAACACAAGAAATTAGGAATATAAATGTGGTTAATGGCGCTATCTAGTAGTCTCCGTGCATACTAATGTTTCCTGCGTTTCTCTGTTACGCGACGATAACGAGTGACGTTGTACTTGACCGTTACCTAAACCTACATAGAAAGCCTTTATAAGAACAAAGTAGTATGGCTAACACCATCCTAGTGGTCGGCGCGAACTTTTGTAGATTTTCTACAAATCCACCATGATCGCATTACGATTTAGTCTGTTAAACTGCAAAAGTAATATTATTGATATTATTGCACTCTATCGACTTATTATCGCAGTTTTCCGCTCCCTTCTTATAAAGACTCTCTACCTTAACTGACTCCACGAATTGTAAGTTATCTATTTTGATATGCGCCTGCTTTCCCTTGCATAGGACGACGGGTACTTCATTTTCCTAATCCTGCATAAAAAACAAATACTCGTTCCGCCACTTTTGAAACAAACAACAATATATTAAACACTAATTTTCTCACAGTATTGTGACAAGGTGAAATAGCGCAAAAATGTTATTTTCTGTTCACTAGTACCACGTTAGCAATGATAGCCCGCAATGCAATGTGTTTATACTAACTAATCCAACTGCCAACACTCACAACAGGTACAAAATTGCATAAATAAAGTCATCCAACCTTCGACTTCCCCGTTTAGTTTTAGTACTGGCTACAATGTATTTTTTTTAAATGCCAGATAGACACATTATTTTGCAGGTTGGATAATTCTGATTAGAAATTAGAATCAGAATTTTTTTACCTTTGCTGGTTTCCCAATACTAAGAATAAAATTGTAGTTAAGAATAATACGACTAAACAGATGACCATTATTTGTGCAATACTTCACTCGTTGTGACTACTGGTGTAAAACAAATATATTTTATTAGGTTAGAATTGCCGACCGTTTAAAATGTTGAGACAAATCATTTTTAACGTAGTTATATTTTCAATTTCGGATACACCGTCAATGTAATGGATAAGTGAAAAAAAAACCGTTGTTGGTATATGCCTTGCACTTTGGCGACAACGCATAACAAACGACAGTAATAATAACAACAATAATAATAATGATAATAATTAATAATAAATTATACAAATTATAAAGAGATAATGAAAACAATAAGAATAACTATAGTAATAGAGTACTGCACGAGTATAGTATTTTACATCGGTGTAATAACTATACCGTGGTTATATAATTTTGACAGGTATGCATTATATTATATTGAAAAAGTCAACGGATAAGCACGCGTTTGGATATGACATTTATATATTTTGTATTTCTTTTCTACATATTTGAACATTTATGGAAATTTCCTAAACTTACAGGGCCTATTTTTTGTCATACGCTCCGGATTGGTGTTTTGTAAGGAGAGTGGAAAAAGAAACGCATATAACGCGTTATCAGGGATGCTCTTTATGGGGAGGCCATTAAATTTAATAATATTATATTATTATCGTTTCAAACGCAGAGCGGTGATAATATTTTCAGCAAATAACAATAATATCAGACTAGTAAAAGGTGGAGAATAAGATAAAAAATACTTTACCCGGTTCCCTAACTGCAGGCTAGTAGGAAATTATATACTGTAATAGGTAATAATACGGATTCTCGGCATTCGGATCGGCGTAATGCGATTACCTAACAGCTAACGTTGGCGGTGTTCGCATCGAAAACGTTTTTGGAACACTTTAGAAGGTTTTTTGGGTGTTTCAGTTAAAACTTTTCGCTCTGAAATTCAACCACCTATGTGTAACCCTGTGATAACTACTCGTACAGTATAGTGAACATGAGCCGTTAATGGTATATTATATTATTGCCGACGTCACTTATATGTTTGAAATTTCGCCGTTCCCAAATGAATACAATTAAAGGTCTTTGAAAAGCCGTCTTACGAATTACCGACAAACCGGTGGGACTACCGTCGTTATCGTATCAATTAATGTTTTGTACTGCACCATAATATTCGGCTTAATGAAACACTTCCTCGTCGTATTAACAGTTGGTATAGGACACTGACGATTTATTCAATTCGAAGATGCTAGTAATAATAATAATAATGATAATAGTACGACAATGGCAGTAACGGTAGAGCACAATGAAACGTTTTAAGTGTGTAGACGACGTATCA